AAGAAAAGAATCGACTGGCACATGCACTGTTTGGTAATACAGTGTCCGACACACATGCCAAAGCCAAAAAATCATGGAAGCGTTGTCATCGTATTCCAATTTCGGATCATATTGCAATTGGAACCATAAATGTGAATGGTTTCAGTGACTCAGCCAAGCAGGCTGCTCTTAGCGATTTGGAGCAAGATGTGCTTGCAATCACCGAGACTCATTTGCAAAGTCACCTGCATCGTGCATTTTCCGACTTCTTTCCAGAATTTCATTGCATTTTTACTCCTGACCCCGAAGACAGACACTATGCAGGAGTCGCTCTATTTATCAAGAAAAGTCGTTTTTGGCAAGTCCAACCGCTCAAATGGAGTCCAACTGATGACTGTCATCAATTTTATCGTGAGAATAGACTATTAGCAGCACAAGCTTGGTACGGTAATGGGGGTTCGTCCATCCTATTCTACTGCCTATATGCTCCCAGTGGAGCCAGATGGGAGCAGCCAAAGCGTAAGGTTTTTAATCAACTCTTGGATTCCATTGTAGCTGATGTTGTCTCACGTGGCCAAATTCCTGCAGTCATTCTTGGAGATTTCAATATGACCATTGAAGAAAGTGATAAATTCCAGGAATTACTCAACCACAATATTTTCATGGATGCACGACAAATTGCCTCAAGCGAGCATCGTTCCTCCCCTACATGCTATGTGGGTCCCAATGGTGGTTCATGTATTGATTTCCTTCTCACGACTCCAAACATTTTTGATCTTTATCCAACTTTACCATCACACAACTACCAATTTTCAAAGATCACGGTCTTGTTTCAGTCCAACTTGCCATGCCAGCACCAGTACAATCCCGAACCAGCCTCAAAAACGTTCCTAAATTACCTCCACTTTACCCTCCCTCTCGTGATGACCAATTGCCCTCATGCGAAATTGGTCAGGAATTTCGTATTTCGCTTACCCAGGGATTGGTTGATGATGCTTTCAAACAGCTAGCTCGTGAACTCAATCGCCTACTAATTGATATCGCCAAAAAACAGGACATCACATTCCTAAAGCTGGTACAGATCGCGGAAAAATACAGTTTCATGCGCAGCGACGACATCCCCCAGCTATTGGACCTCATGCCAGCACCCTTTTCAGTCGAAAAAATTATAAAGCCTTGAATCAAGCAATTGAGGTCAGGGTAGCCAAACCTGGCTACCGTAGAGACGTCACCTGGAACAAAATTGCACATTCTTTGCGCCTTCTTCCTAACGACCAATATGCTCCATTTGATATATACCTCAGTAAACCTGCTTCTCAAGATGATGCCTCTGAGGTCATCTCACTTTTGAAACAGCTCTTACATGAGACAATACAGAAAGACAAAAAGCAGCGAATCTCTAATTGGAAGCAAAGGCTTCGTGCCTGTGAATCTGAACAGTACGCTTGGTTGAAAAACCGAACCAAACATCGTCCAGTTGCCCTCACCGTTGTTAATCAAGTATCCACAGCCAACACACATGCTCGACTAGATGCCATCTCTAGTGTATGGAAGAAAATCTACTCCATTCATAAAAACGGTGAACCATCAGCTCGTGCATTTTTTCAAAAATATGGTGAACACATGAAAACCAGCACATGTCAATTACACCCTTTAACTAAAAAGGATCTTATTTTTGCTCTTAAAAATATGAAGCCATCCGCTCCAGGCCTCGACCATTTTTCTCCAGCAGAACTTAAAGTCTTAGCAGAATGGGTTCCCGATGTGTATGAACATGTAGCCGAGCTATTTAACCATATCGAAAAAACCGGAATTTGGCCCACAGATTTGACAAAGGGCGCTGTTTCATTTTTGCCTAAAACTGACGATGATCACCCTGCTCCCAGTGATTTTAGACCTCTCACAATACTTAGTGCGTTGTATAGACTCTGGGCTTCCGTCAGACACAACCAGTTACGCGAATTTTGGTTGCCAGCTTGGAAACCAGATTGTGCATATGGACTTAAGCAATCCCTTGCCGCTGATGCACTAGCTTTTCACACTTGTATGGACATTTCCATTCATGCACAAGATAATTTTTTGACCAGCGGAATATCATATGACATGCGCAAGTGTTTCGATACCATACCGATGATATTGGTACTCCAAATTTTTAATTTCCGTGGTGCGGATAGTCAGGTCACGAGAGCACTTAATGGATTTTACAAACAGCACCATAAATATTTCAAACTTGAGGGATCATTTGATACCCCGTTCAGACCAAGCAATGGGATTATCCAAGGATGTCCATTGAGCATGCTGCTGCTAACTTCCATGGTAAGTGCCTGGTGTGAATTTTGCATGGTTCAGTTGCCGCAATCTCAACCAAGATCGTACGCAGACGATCTATCAGTTTGCAACTTCGCAACCACTGCGCCAGAACTTGTCGATCGTACTCAGCAATCACATAAACACACAACCGATTTTGTACAGCACACCGGCATGCAGCTCAATGCTCAGAAATGTTTTACATTCGGTGATCGCTGTGTTGAAGACTCCTTACCGCAAATTACCACGCACAAATCGCAATTTCGCCTTGTTGGTGCCAGTGTTAAACTTGATTCCAAAAAAGGATGGACTGATTTAGAAAAAGAACGTCGCACACGTTGGCAACAAACAGTGCGGAATGTTGGTTTATTAATTTATTACCCTCCGGATGGTTTACCAAAGTGAAAATCATTCAATCAACAATGTCCCAATTAACTTACGGCCAGCCAGTGTCATTCGTTGTTTACTCAAACAAAAATTTTATGATTCATCTCCTGGCATCATTTTTGCTCTCCTATCACCCCCATCTATAGATCCTGATTACGCTCTTAATTTGGCGGCCTTCATGCTTATTAAGCGCTTGCATCCGACACCTGCTTCCCGTCAAGCCTTGTGTGAGCAGGTCACTGCTTATCGCAAAAAGAAATGCATTGATGGCCCCATCGACCGCATTCATCAGCTTCTCGAGAATCCTGTATTTCACCAGACCATGCATGATCTATTAAACAATACAATCGATGAACACAGGTGGCAGCATAATCTTCGTGAGCAGTACCGTCACTGCACTTGGACTAATCTCTCACAAGAACGTGGAAAGCACTTTCGCGGAATAGAGAATGGTGTGCGACGTCAACTCACTGTATCTTTAATTCATCAGCTGACAACAGAGGCCGATAAAATTCAAATACTCTCTGATCAAAATTTGTTGCCTCCCTTGGAACCCAAATCTGACCCTAGACCTCGTTTAAAGATTCTCAGATTAATCCTATCTGTAGGTTTGCAATCACCAGAGCGAGACCACCGTCATCGACGTCGTAAGGGCACCATAACTTGTGCATGTGGTTTAGGAACACCATCTATTTTCCATATCTCATGGGAATGTCCATTAATGAAAGAAATCCGTGATCCCATGCTGGAATTTTTGCCTGCGCCAATTCATGAACTTCCGCCATGTTTTCAATTCGCTACTATCGTCCCAGCGGATATGGTCATTTCCAAGCCTAACCTTCACATTATTCAAAACACGCTAATCACCATTTGGCAAACGCACATTGAACAATGGTACGGTGAATCCGATACTCCACAGCCTCAACCCACAGTTAAAAATGATTCCTCGGACGTTACTGAGCACCCTATTGTTAAACGCGGACATGTTCTTAAATTAATACCTTCTGGTGGTGTATTCTGTTGCCGTTGTGGCCGATCCACTAAACTCATTAAGCATCAGCGCCTAAAAATATTGAGCAAAAAATGCACTTTTCCCGACCTCCCTCCAGAGCGATGGCTCACAGAACCAGGATTTCAGAACATCCACAGTTTCGAAGCCGCTGAACATGAACTTAATGAAAAACACAATAAAGGCCATCATCGACTCATTTGGAACCGTTTAGTTGGCAAAGATAAAGAGCAGTCAAACTTCGGAAAGCTTTGGTGCTCGGCTTGCGGCCTAGAATGTGCGTGGAAATCACGGCACGCGAACTCCATTCGTAAAACATGCACTCCTACAAGTCCATTACCCATTCCACCTCCCTGGGTCACTTTGTTGCCACATTTTAATCCTAATCCTCACAATAATCAACCTCCAGATAATGTACCACTTCGGCCAGTACCTTGCATCCGCCTTCGCGGCAAACAATCAATAGCAAATCAGTCAAGTCACCGTGTCGAACCTGACGTTGTCCCAGGATCTTCTGGCAACCCATCCAGCAGCTCGGGACTGTCTCACCGTCGCGGTGTCGGTTGAGAATGTGTGCACAATGAGTGATTGCGCGGCATGCGCGGTTGCTCATCCAAGCCACAACTACTTTTGGGACCCTGCAGGCTCTGCGGCATCGAGACCGAGCTACTTGAGCACATTCCGCAGGTGAGTGGTAGTTCGGTGATGAGTCGGTGTGCTCACTGTCTGTATGACAAAACATGCAACATCCTTTGCGATGTCAGCCATTTCGCTTCGATGCTTTACCCGTGTTATTTCCTTTTTTGGATGGTTCCATACGTTTCACTCATATGTTTTGCCTGCGTGGCAGCCTTTGCTGTGCGAGACTTTCGTGATCTCGACTATGATCTTTGCTTTGCTTATGTGATTTCATACCAATTCTGCCTATTCTGTGAACACTTTTGGATGAGAAGAATTTTGCCGCGCTTCAATGGCAAGCGCCGTCGATCGATAAACAGATGCAGACTCATATGTGCTAGAAGGTATCGATCAAAGAGGAATTTACGCAGAAGACATTCGACCAATCGCAGACAACGTGCAATTTGGATCATGTTTGTTTTCCTTTGCATTCTATGTGGGTGCAATGCTGTTTCATTAACCCATGACGTTTGGACTCACTCAGCCAAGCAACGAAACAAGATGTTGCATGCCTTACATGGAAACGGAGGACCTAACAGTTTCAAAGGAAAAGGGAAAGGCCGATCAAAGAATCAAAGAGATAATTCTTCAAGCTCCACAGGTCCAAATGTTCCAGTGTCATTTCCCATCGAATTGTCAGATCAAGACATCGCAAGTCAAGCACGAGCCTTGGTGCCAGAAGCGGCACACCGTCGAGCCCAAACTCGCCTAGAAGCTGATGAATGGGATGCACCAGTCTACGACCACCAAGCTCTCACAAAGCAAGGGGGCATATCCATCGCCCCAAAAAATTCAATCGCTGAAATTGTTCAGAGAATTGGGTATACAACCAATCCCGTGGCTCTCGTTGTCACAGAGCCCCCAGAGGCTCTAGGGCTCAGGGGCTACCCCAGGAAAAAAGTCACTTGCACAGTGTCTTATATCAATGACCAAGGTGAGCGCTCCACAACGCAAGTTCAGAAATTTCTTATTCAGCTTGGCTTTGGAGCAGAAGTGTCCCAAACTTTCCAAGGACCGAAAGTTCAGATCATGACCACCATGAGACCAATGATTGCAAAATTCCCTCCAAGACACCATTGGCCGACAGGCCAAATTCCCGCATCAACTGTTGCTCAAGAAGTAGAACAGCATATCCCACGCCATGCTTTTGATGACATTATCTCCAGAGAATCGCAAAGTGCAGCGCTTTTGGTGCACATGGACTACATCAATGCCCTACTTCGAGCTTCAGGTGTCAACGGTGCGTTTTACAAACTGAGGATGTCAGAACAAGAATCACCAATGGAACTTCTGTGGCTCCCTGACGAATTTGACCTTCCCGGAGCATTAGCTCTAGCCAAAAACGATGGTGCGTATGGTGTGGTGGAAAAAGGCAAAGAAGCCGCCTATCGATATGCAATCCGATTTAGAACAGTGGAAGCACTCCAAGAATTTGCAACGAAGCACTCGGTGCCTGACACCAGCCACCTGGGGCGTTGGCGTCTTTCTGGGGCACACACCGCAATTGGCATTCATGGATGTCTCGCATTCTTAACGGCACACAGCTGGGAGGAAGTGCAGATATTGTTTCTCAAGCAGGATGAAATCATTTTCTTGGCGTCAAAATGCGGGCAGCTAGGCCCGATGCACTATGAATTCGATGGCTCCATGAGACAACTTCGTTTCAAAGCGCTCAATAAAAGAGCTGAATTTCTCTCCAAAGAAGCCAGCCAAGCATCGCGAACAACGACCACCCGTGTGAATCGCAGAACTGATGCACGTGTGTCGCAAGAAGCATTCTTGAAACAAGTGATGCCTGATTCATCAACTGCACCTGGAAAAGAACAAGCGAAAAGACCTACGGTTGCAAAAACTGGGGACACTCCAGAACCAAAGGTCCGGAAAGAAGGTTAGAAAAAAGCAGTTGGCTCACAGCAGCAGGGACCTGGCCAATCAAATTATGGTTCTGCAGTCGCCTTTCATGCAACAAATTGTGCCATATCATTAATGGGAATGGTCCGAATAAGCCTGCATGGTATCAATCTCATTCGATTAGTTCATTCCAACACATGGCCATAGGTGCCATAAACACGGGAGGACTGCAAAGTAGTGTCAAACGTAAAAGACTGCGTGAACTCGACTTCGACATATTAGCGCTCAGTGAAACTCATTTGCAAAGACACCTTGAAAAAGCCGAACAGGAAGTCTTTAAAAAATATTGGTGTTTTTGGGGCCCAAACCCTGAAGCTCGCCACTTTGGAGGTGTTGCAATTTTTGCTAAAAAAAGAAGCTTTTTGGGCTGCCAAACCATTGCAGTTCCCTACCGATCACCCATGCCATGCCTTTTACCAGGACAACCGCCTCATCGCAGTCCAAGTCTGGTTTGGACGTGGTGGCACATCACTCATTGTATATTCAATATACGGTATTTCTGGTTCACGTTGGGAAACCCATAAAAAGGCTTACTTGCACAAACTGCTTAAGTCCATCGAACTTGACCGCATTGCCAGAGGACAAATTCCTTGCGTCTTGTTAGGAGATTTTAATCTGGAAATTGCAGAATCACAAGTCCTTTCTCAAGCACTTTCATCCAATTTTTGGTATGATCTCCGTACCATTGGTGATAAAGACAATCAGCAAAAAGCGACATGTAATAAAGGTCAAGGATCTTACATTGATCATATCTTTGTTTCCCCCGCATTATTTGACCAATGTTTCAACTTCCAGGTTCGTAAATTCAAAGAATTTAAAGACCATTCAGTTCTCAGCTCCAACATTTCAGTACCAAAGGCTGCGTAAACACAAACCAGCTTAAGGCCGGTTTAAGCTTCCGACTTTGACTCGTGCTTCCAAAACCTCCGAACCCTTTCACTATGACATATCCCCGCAGTTCAGCATAGCCATCTCCAAGGGTGATGTTGACACCGCTTTTAAGTTATGGTCAGGCGCCTTGGAACACATTCTCATCAAAGTGGCCAGAGCGCAAGGCCACGAAATTCGCACTCGCTCCGCTTCGCATCGAGGCCAGATCCTGTTTCATGAACAAAGATTACATCCTAAAGTGGTACACGACGCTGCCACGACGCTCAAAGGTCGTTTTTTGTGGAAAGGCTACTGTCGTGCTGTTGAACTTTCTAAGATTTCTTTAGGTGTTCGTCAAGAAAAGACCTTAGATAACTTGTCTGCAGTAGAACAGTGGCTGTCCAGTGATCATCTGGCCCAGTTCGAAGCACTTATTGCCCAACCTTTTTCCAATCATATTGGTTTGCAACTCGCAGCGCTACTCGAGAAGGCCATCGAAGAGAATGATCGCGCAGACAAACAAGCGCGTATCTTGAAATGGAAGCAGTCTCTGCGCCGAGCAAACCGGGATACTTATTCTTTCCTTAAACATAAGATTCCTCATGCTGCTGTGCGTTTATCCATGGTTGAAGCATCCCCAACTGCTGACTTGCATTCGCGACTTGACAGCATTTCCAAAGTTTGGCGCAATATTTATAACCAACACAAAAATAATGAACCGACTTTTCGCAACTTCTTAGCTGAATTTGGACCAACCATGCAAACGCATGTTGCAGAAATCCCTGACCTATCTCAACAGCTTATCACCGACACATTAATGCGTATGCGCCCCAGCTCTCCTGGGCTGGATCAGATTGCCATTGATGAACTACAAATAGCTGTTTCACATTGTCCTCAACTAGTCAGTGCCCTATGTCAGCTTTTCCAGTGTATCGAACAAAAAGGAAAATGGCCCATTCCCCTAACAAAAGGTGCAGTGACTTTCATTCCAAAGGAAAATGAAGATGAATTCCTCTCACCTGATAAATATAGACCTATAACCATTTTATCCTCCATTTACCGTTTGTGGAGCGCAACAAGACATGATCAATTGGCTTCTTTATGGTTTCCATTTTGGCGTCATTCCCAATGTTATGGTGGTAAAGGTTGCAAATCGGCCGACGAGTTGGCTTTCCAAACATGTAAACAGCTACAGCAAGCGCAGCGTAACCAATTGTTTGCGGCTGGAGTGTCCTTTGATCTCGCTAAATGCTTCGATTCAGTCCCTATAACGTTAGCCCTCGACATAGGACAATTTCGCGGCGCTCCTTATTCAGAATTCTCCCGGAACCAAGACGTCGATTCAGTTACACCCATCAACCTTCGGTGGCTTTTCTTGCCGATCCATAAACAAACTCATGAGGGCACTCAATGGCAACACTGCACAAACAGAGTCACACTTACGAATTTCAGCATTCAATACAAACGGCCTCACCGTGCTTGGCCGTTGGCAACTGCTCCTTGACCGAGACTTTGATATCTGCATGATATCCGAGACGCATTGCACTGCTTTTCACCAGAAATCCTTGGATTATGATGAGAGAGTTTTCGGTCATATGGGGTGCACCTGTAACATCCCAATCTCGCAGTGGAGTCATGTGCATTGCCAGAAAGCATTCCTTTTGGGCTGTTCAAGCCATGCCATTCGTTGAACCGGAGTGCCAGCAATATTTTAATGAAGGCCGACTTCTCTTAGTCCAAGGACTGCGAGGCAAAGGGGAACGCAATGTTCTCATCTATGGTCTGTATGGCCATGCCGGTTCCAGATGGGATGCAGACAAAAAGAAAACGATGGACAAGATCCTCAATGCAATTAGCAGAGATATGGCCGCGAGAGGTCCACAAATAATATGTGTTGTAGGGGACTTCAACTTACAGCCACATGAATCAGACCTACTCCAGACATATCTACGTACACGATTCCTCTATGATGCAGTTGATTGGAGACAGCCCGGGACAGAGCCAGAACCGACTTGCCATAAGGGAACTGGAACTCGTATTGACCTTATCATGATGAACTCACAAGCAAGCAGCCGATGTCAACATTATCAAACCCTGACCGGTTTCAATGTTCGTGACCACAGTGAAATTCAGGTCACTCTTAGAATTCCACTCCTGGCACAACATCGACATAAGATGTTTCCCGCCGGTAATGAATTTCACTATGACCCCCCGCCAGTAGGTTATCAAGAGCATCATCCTGTTAAAATCCCACAATGTATTTTGGACCAAATTGACAATTGACAAGCATGATATTGATGCAGCCTTTCAAGCATGGTGCAGCTTAGCACAGCAGTATCTATGCATGATTCCCCAAACCACAGAGCACGGCGTATCCTATGACACAGGCGATAGCCGTGGACGAGTGCGCATCCAGAGACAAGTCGTTTTCCCTAAATCAAAAACTGGCGAAGTACAAAATTTGCATAGCCGGAGACTAGCCCGCGCCCTAGCCAGAGCTGAAGGATTAACCCGTGTGCATGCTTTCGGCGAGCATCAAGTGCGAGCATGGGGTAACATATAAATACGGTTAAACTGAGCCTCTCACCATCCCAATGGGACCCGCTTGCTAGTATCTTGAACCAGACGCCCACACAGCAACGTGCACGAGATCTCGTCCAGCTGTTGCGAACGTACCTGCAGCAGCAGATCACAGCAGATCGCAATGCACGAATCAAGGCATGGAAAAAGAAAATTACCAGCAATGAAAAATATGCATACCAGTGGGCCAAGGGTCATAAGTCTGTTGAAGACCAAGCCATGACATTACCTGATGGACGTACTATACAGTCAACGAAGATGAACAACTCAGGCATATCGCCGAAGCATGGCGTCCAATCTTCAATCGTTTCAGTACAAATCCACCGGACACAAACACCTTCATGCAGCAATTCGGTGAATATTATATGGTTGCTGCGCCGATGGATGTCAAAGCTATGATTGGAGCACTACTCGTAGCAAATGCTAAAAACATCGCACCAAGTTCTTGTAGCCTAGACCAGTGGCGCCCGGAATCACTCAAAGCCCTTGCACTTTGGTTTCCATCTTTGTACGGTAGTCTAGCAGTCATCCTTCGATATGTCGAAGCTACGGGTACCTGGCCTGAACCGCTCACATGTGCATATCTTTTGCTCATTCCCAAAGATAGTACTAAGACTTCACCAGCACCAGCACCCACAGACTTCAGGCCAACCAGTGTTTTGTCGGCAATTTATCGTTTATGGAGTTCTACACGATTCAAGGACTGCATGGCTTGGCAAGAAAGCTGGGCCCATTCCCAGATGTGGGGATGTCGCCCTGGAAAGGGGGCGGAGGCTATGGGTATGGACGCGGCCATCCAACTCGAGGAAATCCATCATAACAGCAATTTAGTTGCAGGCTGCCTATGCGTTGATTTCATGAAATGTTTCGACCTAATTCCAGAAAATGTGCTTTTCCAAGCGTTGCAACACAGGGGGAATGCATCCATGCATCCAAGTGCCACTCCGAGGCCTATATCAAAAACTTCCTCGCGTTTACCGCCTTCGGGGGTCCATATCAGACTGGTGGAAAGCAGCCAATGGACTTGTGCAGGGTTGTGCCCTAAGCATGATCGGTCTAAATAGTCTTGTTGCAGTTGTCTTAGAGGTTGGCAGTAAGTGCTGCCCAGAAGTCGTAGGACGGGCATATGCTGATGACCTTAGTGCAACAATGGTGACCACATCAGCGGACAGACTTCTCAATGGTCTGCGGCATTTCAACCGAATAGTCCAGGCACTTGCCAATTCTGGTTTTGGTGAAATTTCTCAGAAGAAGACACATACCTTCGGTCACCCGCAGTTGGCACAAGCTCTCGATACTAGATACCAACATTGCACAGCATTACGATTGGTCGGAGCCTCCATAGTAAGTGAAGATGCCCAGGCAGCAGGCAGCGTTGTAGAAAGTTCTCGACTAAATACTTGGGCTACTTACTTGTGACCTAGAAAAACAAATCAATCCTTCAAATTCTTAGTCCAAATTCAGCCTTTGCAATCAGCAGGCCATTTGTATAGAACCACTACGATCATTGCAATCAGTACCTTCCAAGTCTTTGCTTGACTATCACAATCTACCTGGGAAAAAAATGTTTTTGCAAGGATCAGGCTGTGGTTCAAATTTGATCCTGTGCTTCCCTACCGCGACATAGGTGGCATGGGTGGCCTGGTGTGGAAGGAGGTGTAAAACCAACAGCAAAAACTTCAAAAAAAACAAAACCAATCAAAAAAGTATGATTTTATATATGTGAAAAACATGACAAAAAATAGGTATATACCTAAATCAATTTAGGTATATATATACCTATTTTTTCAATAGTAAATATTTACTAAGCTAAGTAAAAAAATTACGTAAAATTTTCGACCTAAACCAAAAAAAAACGCAAATTTTTGCTCACCTAAATTTTATTATTTTAGGAGACTCAGGGAAGCGTTGTCATCGCATTTCCAGTTCGGACCATATCGCAATTGGAACCATAGATGTGAATGGTTTCAGTGACTCAGCCAAGCAGGCTGCTCTCAGCGATTTGGAACAGGATGTGCTCGGAATCACCGAGACTTACTTGCAAGGTCATTTGCATCGGGCATTTTCCGAATTTTTTCCGCAATTTCACTGTATTTTCACCCCAGATCCTGATGACAGGCATTATGCATGAGTTGCTCTGTTCCTTGAGAAAAGTCGTTTTTGGCAAGTCCAACCACTGAAATGGAATCCCACTGATAGCTGTCATCGGTTTTACCGTGAAAATAGACTTCTAGCAGCACAAGCCTGGTACGGTAACGGGGGTTCTGCTATCCTCATCTATTGCCTATACGCCCCTAGCGGAGCCAGATGGGAGCAACCAAAGCGATTTTTTTTTAATCAACTCGTAGACTCTATCGTAACTGATGTTGTCTCACGTGGCCAGGTTCCTGCAGTCATCCTAGGAGATTTTAATATGACCATGGAAGAAAGTAATAAACTTCAGGAGTTACTCAACCACAATTTTTTTGTGGATTCGCGGCAAATTGCTTCAGCAGAGTATCGTTCTATGCCCACATGTTATGTGGGACCCAATGGTGGATCACGTATTGGTTTTCTCCTCACAACACCCAACATTTATGATCTATTATCCAATTTTACCATAACACAACTGCCTGTTTTCAAAGATCATGGACTTGTTACGGTCCAGCTTGCTATGCCTGCACCAGTACAATCTCGAATCAGCTTAAAACATGTTCCAAAATTACCTCCACTTCGTGCCCCCGCTCGTGATGACCAATTGCCCACATGCGAAATTGATCAAGAATTTCATATTTCGCTTACCCAGGGATTGGTTGATAATGCTTTTAAAATTCTTGCTCATGAGCTCAATCGTCTTCTAATTGAGATTGCCAGCAGACAAGGACATCAAATTTCCAAAGCCGGCACAGATGGTGGGAAAATTCAGTTTCATGCGCAGAGACGCCATCCCCCAGCCATTGGCCCGCATGCCAGCACCTTGTTCAGTAGAAAAATATATAAAGCCTTAAACCAAGCAATGGAGGTCAGTGTAGCCAAACCTGGCTGGAACAAATTTCACAGTGGCTGCGCCTTCTTTCCACTGATCAATATGCTCCATTTGATGTATTTCTCAGTAAGCCTGCTTCTCAATATGATGCCAATGAGGTCATCTAGCTCTTGAAAAAAGCTCTTACATGAGACAATACAGAACGATAAAAAGCAACGGAGCTCTAGATGGAAGCAAAGGCTACGTGCCTCCGAATCTGAACAGCACGCCTGGCTGAAAAATCGTACCAAACACCGTCCGGTTGCCTTCACAGTTGTTAACCAGGTCTCCACAGCCAACACACATGCTCGACTCGACGCCATCTCTAGTGTATGGAAGAAAATCTACTCCATTCATAAAAACGGCGAACCATCGGCCCGTGCATTTTTTGAAAAGTATGGTGAACACATGAAGACCAGCACATGTCAATTGCACCCTCTATCTAAAAAGGATCTTATATCAGCACTTAAGAAAATTAAGCCGTCCGCTCCAGGCCTTGATCATTTCTCACCAGCTGAACTTAAAACCTTAGCCGAATGGGTTGCCGATGTATTTGAGCACGTAGCCGCGCTATTTAACCACATTGACAAGACCAGTAATTGGCCCGCAGACTTGACAAAAGGTGCAGTTTCCTTTTTGCCAAAAACCGACGATGATCACCCAGCTCCCAGCGATTTCAGACCTCTAACAATCCTTAGTGCATTGTACAGACTTTGGGCTTCTATCAGACACAACCAACTATGCGAATTCTGGCTGCCAGCCTGGAAGCCAGATTGTGCGTATGGACTCAAGCAATCCCTTGCTGCCGATGCACTCGCTTTTCACACTTGTTTGGACATTTCCACTCACGCACAAGAACATTATCTAACCAGCGGCATATCATATGACATGCGCAAGTGTTTCGATACTATACCGACGATGTTAGTCCTCCATTTTTAATTTTCGAGGAGCAGACAGTCAGGCAACAAGAGCACTTCATGGTTTCTACAAGCAGCACCATAAGTATTTCAAGCTTGAGGGTTCATTCGATGCACCGTTCAGGCCAGAGTATGTTGTTGCTGACGTCCATGATAAGTGCCTGGTGTGAATTTTGCATGGCCAAATTGCCGCAGACTCAACCAAGATCGTACGCTGACGATCTTTCAATATGCAATTTCGCTTTCATTTCACAAGAACTTGTCACTCGCACTCAACAATCCCATACACATACAACCGAATTTGTGCAGCACACCGGAATGCAGCTCAACGCTCATCGATGCGTCGCTGAATCTTTGCCTCAGATAACCGCGCACACATCACAATTTCGGTTAGTTGGTGCCCGTGTAAAACTTGATTCCAAAAAGGGATGGACTGATCTTGAAAAAGAACGACGCACACGATGGCAACAAACAGTGAAGAATGTTGGTTTATTACCCTCTGGATGGTTTACGGAAGTAAAAATCATTCAATCCACCATGTCCCAATTAACTTATGGACAGGGCACTCATTCTTCCCACTGTAATAAAGATGATAAACGCACTCTGCGTGCCAGTGTGATTCGTTGCTTACTCAATCAAAATTTTATGATTCATCGCCTGGCATCATCTTTACCCTTCTTTCACCCCCATCTATCGATCCTGGTTACGCTCTTAATTTGGCGGCTTTCATGCTCATCAAGCATTTGCATCCTTCACCAGCCTCTCGCCAAGCCCTGTGTGGGCAGGTCACCACATATCGTAAAAAGTCAAGCATTGACGGTCCCATTGACCGTATTCAACAACTCCGTGACAATCTTGTATTTCACCAGACCATGCATGACCTTTTTAAACAATACTCTTGATGAACACAAGTGACAGCATAGTCTTCGTGAACAATATAGACGCTGCACTTGGACTACCCTTTCACAAGAACGCGGCCAGCATTTCCGCGGGATGGAGAATGGTGTGCAACGTCAACTTACTGTATCTTTAATTCATCATCTGACTGCCGAAGCCGATCGAATCCAATATCTCCCTGATCAAAATTTATTACCTCCTTTGGACCCCAAATCAGATCCTAGACCCAGATTAAAGGTTCTCAAGCTGATTTTATCTGTTGGACTGCAATCACCAGAGCGAGATCACCGTCGTAAGGGCACCATTACCTGTGCATGTGGTTTAGGTTCACCCTCTATTTTTCATATCTCGTGGGAGTGTCCTTTGATGAAATAGATCCGTGATCCTATGCTAACATTTTTGCCCGCGCCTCTCCATGAACTTCCGCCTTGTTTTCTATTCGCAACTATCGTCCCAGCGGATATGGTCATTTCCCGGCCTAACCTTCACATCATCCAAAATGTGCTTAATTACCATTTGGCAAACGCACATCCAACAGTGGTACGGCGAATCCGACCTTCCACAACCCCAACCTACGGTTAAACCTGATTCTACTGACGATAGTGAGCACCCTATTGTCAAACTTGGACATGTTCTTAAATTAATACCCTCTGGAGGTGTCTTTTGTTGTCGCTGTGGCCGTTCCACTAAACTAATTAAACATCAGCGTTTCAAATTTTTGAGCAAAGTATGCACTTTTCCAGATCTCCCCCCGGTGTCTTTTGCTGTCGTTGTGGCCAATCGATTAAACCATTTAAACATCAGCGTTTGAAAATTTTGAGCAAACCATGCACTTTTCCAGATCTCCCACAAGAGCAATGGCTCACTGAACCAGGATTTCAGAACATCCACAGTTTTGAAGCCGCTGAACAACAACTAAATGAGAAACACAATAAAGGCCAGCACCGACTCATTTGGAATCGATTGGTCGGTAAAGATAAAGAGCAGTCGAATTTCGGAAAGCTTTGGTGTTCAGCATGCGGCCAAGAATGGCTGTGGAAATCTCGTCACGCAAACTCCATTCGCAGAACATGCAATCCTATTCATCCATTACCTGCACCACCTAATTGGGTAACTCTACTTCCACACTTAATCCTAATCCCCATAGTAGCAACCCACCTGCTAATGTGCCATCTCATCCACCAAACAATCCATAGCAAGTCAGTCAAGTTACCGTGTCGAATCAGACGTTGTCCCAGGAACTACTGGTAATCCCTCCAGCAGCTCGGGCCTATCACATCGACGCGGTGTCCGTTGAGAATGTGTGCACCATGAGTGATCACGCGACATGCGCGATTGCTCTTACAAGCCACAACTACTTTTGGGACCCTGCAGGCTGATGATCTATCTGCGGTGGTTCGGGGTCAAAGTGAAAGACAAGCTGAGGGCTATCCATGCGGTTGTTAGGGGGTACGTCTCGTCAGGATGTGGTGAACTCAACATCAATAAGTGTTACACATTTGGTGATGATTCTGTTCAAGGTACTTTGCATAATGAGTTCCAGCATCCGAAAGATTTCCGAATTGTAGGTGGGTCAATTGTTGTTCGAGAAAACGCTTCTTCCTTACACAGCTCGAAAACAAAAGGTGGTCTAAATGGAGAGGGACTATTTGCCGAATACGGCATCTACCATATGGTTGGATGAAGCGTGCTCGTATGATGCTGGCGACGCAGTCACAGGCTACGTTTGGTCAGGGTTCACATGGGTTGGTGATGGAGAATCTGGACTACCTTAAGAAGGTTAGGGCAGACATCATGAGGTCGTTATGGAAGATGGATGCGTACTCATGTAGTCCTCTCGTCACTATGGCGATTTTGGTACCTGTTCAACTTGATCCTGAATTCGGGTGTATCTATGAAGGCTTACGGGCAATTATGCGCTATGTGAGGCGACCTGCTGCAGCAGCTGAGCTTAAAAGAAGGTTTTACATGGACCCATCCTTTCCAGTCGATGGCCCTGCTGCTAGATTAAAGACCTTGGCGGATACCAGTATCTTGGGGAGGCACATCTATACCTTGGTCAATGGAGAACATAAGGAAGGGGAATGGTTGCACAGGATACGGGAGGAGTGGAGGAACTTTTTATGGGGAAGGCACAACAGGTTGATAGGAAGCGGACTATGTGGTGGTACAATTCCCTTCAGGACATTGCTGATCAAGAAGATTATGACAGTGTCAGTGTGGAGGTTTCGGAGGCTAGGGCACAGATGGGGGTTCTTAGAACAATATTTGCAGGTGGGCTGATGACGCCAGACAGAGCTCTACGGCATCGCAAGAAGTAGGGGGAGCATGTATCTTGGAGGAAATAGAGTCAGTGGAGCATGTATCTTGGAGGTGTGTGCAGTACCAGGATTACAGAACCCTACTTCGCGACCAGCTGACGTGCTCTTTTGAGGACCTACCGGTATGTATGCAATATGCGGCTATCGTGCCACAGGGCAGTTGGCTTACAGATGAGGATTTTTTTGCGGTACAATCTTATCTGGTGAAGGTTTGGCAACATCATATTAAACAATGGGGAGCTGGAGAAGACCTACTAGTATTACATCGGGATCAATGAGCACCAGGTCATCAGGGGGGAGGACGTTGAGGAAAATGGGCATTTGTTATCGGCGCGGTTAAATGGACCGGGGATGTGGTGCAAGCGTTGTGGAAAGCACACAAGCATGTTGAAGCACGTCAGGCAAAAGATCACCAAAAACCCTTGCTCCTGCTCCAGTCCTAACGGGCCTCTACTTGTACAAGAGGGACACAACATGGCGGAGAGTCGTCTAGACAGGTTGGAAAGAGAACTCAATACAAAATACAACAAGGGGGGACATACGCTTCAGCGGAACCGGAAGTTAGGGAAACACATCGGCAGCGAGGGTGAAGGGTGGCTACACTGCTTAAGGTGTAACAGATGGTGGAGGTGGAAGGATCGCGTGTGCAATCTGTCGCGTGCTGTGTGTACGCCTACAAACAATGTCCGTGTTGCGAAGCGAATCACCGGAAAACAACCAGTGTCTCACCTCAGTGTTTCATGGGTAGCTCGTGATGAGCCTTCCTCTTCATCATCAGCGCGTCCAGTTGCATTTGAAAGACATGGTGTCGGATGAACACCGCAGGAATGGAGTGTAGGCGCTGCATGCACTACTACTCCTACAAGCACCAACTTTACATTCGGACATGACTCACTCCACAACCAAGTTCGTCATGGCTATATTCATTCTAATAATATACGTGTGGTTGGTGTCTCAGTAGTATCCCAAGAATTTGATGGTACTTTCACCAAATTAGAAAAAGAACGTCTCAGTAAGTGGCATGCCACTGTCAAAAATGTTGCTAAATTGCCAGTAAGTTGGTCCCAAAGAGCGCATGTCCTCTTATCCACTCAATCGCAGGCGACCTTTGGGCAAGGTGCACATCAGATGTGTACAGATGTGTCCGAACTGCGTAAAGTTAGGTCTTCAATAATGAGGTGTATGTGGCAAACAGCATACTACAGCATGAGCCCAGCACTCACTTTCGCCTTGTTGATGCCAGTTCATTTGGAGCCAGAATTTGCCATGAATTATGCTGGTGCTATCGCTTTCCAAAGAGCGACCCAAAAACGACCAGAAATATTGTCGCGTATATTTCGAGCCATTGTCTCTAGTGAATACACCGCTGTTGGGCCTTGCACTCGCATGTATGAACTTCTGGATACGTCGCTCGGTACAGTAATCCAAGAAATGATCAATGGCAATGTAACCACTCAGATGCAAATTGGTAAATGGAAACATGACCTACGCCAAGCTTGGAGAACCCACTTGTATAAGCAAGTCGCCAAAGACCGACCACACCAATTCGAACATGCAGATCTAGTTGACCCAGAAAGAACTATGCGTTTTTATAAGTCACTGGAAATATGTGCTTCAGATGAAAACATCGATCCTGATATGGTTGAGCAAGCACGAATGAAACTAGCTGTTCTGCGCCGACTTTTTGCCGGTGGACTCCTCACCGAAGCGCGAGTACGTAAACACAAAAGACATACCGAAGCCAGTATTTGTTCATGCGGGATTGGTGAAGAAGATACGGTAGAGCATGTCTCATGGCGGTGCACCAAGTATCAAGCAATTCGTGCACCACTACTTCGTAAACTGCCCCAGCAGGCTCTCATTCTCAAAACCTCAAGATTAACCCCAGATCAGATTCAGTGCCTTCAAGAAACCCTTGTAAATATTTGGCAGCAGCACATTCGTTCCTTTTATGCCGAAGATGTCAATGACACACCACCATCAGGACCCATTCCGTCCAATAATAATAGTCAGCAAAATGCCAGCATTCGACAAGCCAATGGTCATGCTCTCGCTATGCTCCCCAGTGGTGGTATGTGGTGTCGCAAATGTGGTAAGCAATGTGCTCGATTGCAGCATATCAAACTAAAAATTACCAAAAACCCGTGTCCCCATGCCAATAAAAATGAAAGTCAATGGTTAGATAGTCCTGGTTTTAATCTTAGTTCTCACAGACTCGACCAGCTCCAGGAGGAACTCGAAAATAAATATAATAAGGGTGGCCATGTGCTGACATGGAATCGTCAAATAGGCAAGGTTTACAATGCCCCGAATGAAGGAATGGTTCATTGCGCTAGATGCAAGCGTCAATGGAGATGGAAGGACAGGGTCAACAACCTTCCGCGTACAAAATGTATCCCCGATAGTCCGTCTCAAAGTAGTACCTCTCGAAATCAATCTATCACACCAACTCCAAAAGTTCGATTACATGGAAAGCAAGCACCTATGTCCAATTGCTTCTCAAGTGACACAAACACACGTTCACATGAGCTTCGTCCAGTGCAACACACGGCACAGGCATTGGCTGAGAGGAACGTGCAATGGAGTTTGGGGACTTGCGTCTCCGTTACTCTGACAAGACCGAGGTTTTGGGACCCTGCAGGCTTCACGCAGTGCAAGTTCAACTCTCAATCCTGAAACTTTTCATTCCCCGAACGTTGCAGCTACTGAATCTGAATCTAAGGATCTGTTCTTCCGAACAGGTATGGATGAATGCCACGGAAAGGAGTCTCTCAGCTTGTGCTGGGTCACTCCGACAAGTTCACTACATGCTGATTCTGCTGATGAAGGCCTACGGGTTTTCGACCAGATCACAACTCAGAAAGCCACCTCCAAAGTCCTGAAGAACGGCATGCAGCTATTTAGGGTGCATCGCAGGTGGTTCATCAGCCGGTTGACGGAAAACAAGTTGATTCACATCTTGTACGGAAATATGCAGCCGAACAGAAAAGGCAGCTCTAAAGGAAAGAAAGGTGCCGAAAGAGACCTTGTGACTGACCCAGACGAAGCCTTTCGTTTAGAGATCAGCTCCAGTTTGCCGGAAGCCGCAATGATCTGGACGCAACCTCGTCTCTTTGACGCCGACTGGACCGTACCATGTCGCAATGCCTTCGAGTTATCCTCTGAAGAAGGAGTGGCAATCGCAAACAAGAACCAAGTGCCGGCCATCTTACGTGTTGTGGTTATACCCGAAATAGAGTTGCCATTTTAACTACGCAATCGGCACAGGACCTTCACTTGAAGGGCTACCCGTCTCAGCAAATCAAATCCCAGTGCGGGTGCAAGTTTTGACCGATGAAGGAGAACGCAAAGAACTGTACCTTCAACGATTTTTGATTCAAGTGGGATTGGCCGCCATGTTCAATTCAGTGCCACAGGTGATTTGGTGTCCATTTCTGACACGATGATCAAGATGAATGCTAAGCTTCCTGCATTTTGCGGGTGGTCAGCTGAATCATATCGTGGAAACACCTTCGCAACCATTTTGTCGGAGTACATTGACATCCAGCTTGTTGAATCATTACAGGCACGTGATGGAAACACTGCCACTTTTTATGCACATCAATCAGTTGTCTCCACCTTGTTACAAGCCAGTGACCGAAATTGCATGTACATCAAAACGCACTTGGATCATGAGGAGCAATTTCCCATGGACTTATATGGTTGCCGGGTCACATCACGACGGAGGAGGGCCTGGAGTATGCCACCCACCCTTCAGCTCTAGGGCTGGCTACAAAGAACTCCAAGAACCATCCCAGGTTTGCTGTGTGCTTCAAAGACATCCACGATATCCAAGAGTTCACGAAAAAGAATGGCCTTCCTTCACATTGACAATGGCAGATGGAGGTTGGACGGCCTCACGCCTGCAATTGGCTCAGCTGGAGCAATTCAATTCTTAGAAGCTCATGGATGGACTGTGGAGGAACTTCTATATTTTGGCCCAAATCATGTGGTATATACAGCTTCCCAAACTGGTGACACAAAAGCTATGCACTACAAGAGAGGATCTTCATTGCAACAGTTGCGCTTCAAAGCATTAAATCGAAAAGCCAGATCGGAGCAAATTGCTCATTGTCAGACAACTCGCAACGCTGGCGCCACTTCCTCGGCTGCAAAGGCTACTGGAAAGGGCACGCAAAAACGTGCCGACTTGTTGAGATCTTTACCAAGCAAAAGTAATGCAGCTTGAAGTACCTGCTCCGAAATACCCCCAAATCAGCCAGAAAAGAGGCCACCTGAAGGGGCAACTGGCGCAACGCCAGCTCCCAAGCAAAGAGATCGTAACATTTATCAGATTTGAAACACAGAATTTGCTGTAGCTCTCACAAGCTGAGAAACCGGCTCATGAGAGCATTACATCATCGCGGAGCTGACTCCAATGTAGTACGAGCCATTGATGGTTTTTACTCGCAGCATGATTTTTTCCCAGATTGAAGGCAACTATTCGACCGCATTTCGCCCTGCAAATGGCATCATTCTAAGCATGGTTTTGTTGACTAGTGTCATCACCACATGGATTGAGTACTGCCACGCTCATTTACCAGATGATCTTTCCATTAATGCTAAGTCTCGTCAGAAAAAGGATCTCTTAGTTCAAACTCAAAAAATGCATCACCCTATCATGTGCTGGTATGAGCATCAATCCTTCCAAATGCTTCACGTATGGGGACCCAAGTGTTGCTGGCAGCATCAAGAAAATGCCGCAGCACAAACATGAATTAAGACTCGTAGGTGGTAGTGTCAAAATTAACAACAAGAAAGGCTGGACTGAGCTGGAACAATTACGAGTAAACACGTGGAAAAGAGTGTTTCCAACATCTGATTCCTCCCAATAAGCTGGCAGCAGAAAACTCACATGATTCAAAGTGTTTTGTTCCAGCTCACTTTTGGACATGGCACCCATACTTCACACATCACTCCACAGCAATTAACTAATTTACGTGCCACGGTGATAAGAACCTTGCTGAATGCTGATCTTTATGATGCTTCTCCGTGCATCATTTTCACCATTTTAGCACAACCTAGCATAGAACTGAGTTCGCCATGCAAGTCGCTGCGCTGCGGCTCATGTCGAACCCTTAATTCAACCCAGCTTAAGCAGCAAATTCTTGAACTCATTCTAAATCCTGAAGTGATCTTTAATATTGATGGTCCACTCAATCGCATCCGACAATTATATCAGCATGAAGTTTAATCATGATACCATTCATTCTTTTTTGAACAATCGACTCGATCCTCACAAGTGGCAACACGAGTTGAGGGAAAAGTTTCGAATTGCCTGGTGGAAGAAAATTGTTATCGATCGTGCCCAGCACTTCGCTGGCATCGACCGTGGTATCAACCGTCAATTATCCACTGCGTATGTCAAATCTCTAGAATCAGAAGCTGACGATATTCAATTCAAATTAGATCATGGCATCATCCCAAGCGTTGACCCGGATTCAGACCCTAGACCAAAATTGAAAGTTCTTCGCATGATTTTAAATGCAGGTATTCAAACCCCGGAGCGAGATCATCGACATCGTAAACGCCAGGGTACGGCGCAATGCACATGTGGCAATGGAGTTCCTACCGTTCACCACATAAGCTGGGAATGCAGTTGTTTTTGTGACATTCGTGCTGACATTTGGCAGCATTTGCCATGGCGGTTGCATGAGCTTCCCATGTGTTTTCAGTGCAAATTTGGCAGCGTCATATCAAAAATTGGTATGACACGACTGACGCTGATCCTGCATCAAGACAACTTCAAAATTCAGACATTGATGCCGATCCAGCACCTACCAGTAGCGCTACAGAAACCGACCAGCCTGTCGCTCCGACAATTAAGAAAGGCCATATTTTGAAGCTCATTCCTGAAGGTGGTGTATTCTGTTGCCGTTGTGGCAAGCAAACCAAAAACATGAAGCACCAGCGTTTGAAAATTTTGAACAAACTTTGTAAATTTCCTGATTTAGATCCTAGCCAATGGCTTACCGCGCCTGGATTTCACAACTCTACCAACCGCATTATAGCAGCCGAGAAAGACGTGAATGGTAAATACAATTTAGGAAAGCACTCACTCATTTGGAACCGCAAACTCGGAAAATCACAAACAAACCCGGTTTCGGATTGATTTGATGTGCATTTTGTGGAAGAACATGGCCTTGGGATAAGAGAATGTGCAGCTTGAGCAAAACCAAATGCCTCCCATCAGATATTCCGCCAGATCCACCTGATTGGGTTGTAACTCTCGACCATTTCGATGCTTCTGATCATTTGCAGTCTGCAGAACCTAATTAGAGCGCGTGTGAGAAGAAGAACTTTTGGCAAAGACAACCTGACAACCAGATCCTGTGAAAAACACTGAAACCCATGATCGCGCCGCATCAGGTCATTCAGCCAGCAGCTCTTCAATGCTTCCACGTCAGGGCATTGGATGAGCATGTGTGCAACGAGTGGGATGGCGGTATTCCATCCTGCTCATCCAAGCCACTACTATTTTTTGGGACCCTGCAGTATACCATCGTCGCAGATTTCGGTCGATGGGCCTACGGCCAGATTGTGTACGCTGTCACAGTCTGCTGTTCTGGGTGATTTGGTTAACAAGTTGATCAATGGTGATTTCAATGAAGATGAGTGGTTGCATATGTTACGGGAGGCTTGGAGAAACCGTTTGTGGAATAGAGTGAGCAAAGAACGTAGCCACCATTATGCGGGCGCACATGCTGTTGATAGAAGTCGTACAATGAAGTGGTACAATCAATTGCAAAGAGTGGCAGACAAATCACTGGACGATGAGAATGATCTAGAAGTTTCTCAGGCGAGAGCTCAGTTGGGTGTCCTGCGCACAATTTTGGCTGGTGGATTGATGACCCCCGACGGCACTACGTCATCGCGACAAGGGTGGTTAGTAATTATGCCGCTGTGGTTTGGAAAGGGAATCTGCAGAACATGTCTCATGGGGTTGCGTACAATACCAGAACCTACGCAAAGAGTTATTGCAGCAACTCTCATGCACGCTCAAGGATTTACCTGTCAGTGTGTCCAATATGCGGCATATATTCCCCTGGAGAGTAGTCTTTCTGATTGTGACATTTTCAACATCCAATTCTTTTTAGTCCATGTGTGGCAACATCATATCAAGCAATGGCACGCCGGTGAGGATCTTACAGTCATTCCCCAAAACATCAACAGTCATCAAGTTCTTCGAGGGGAAGACGTGGAGGAAAATGGTCATCTTTTGTCTGTGCGAGTCAACGGCACCGGCATATGGTGTAAAAGGTGTAGAACATTTACAAGCATGCTGAAGCATGTCCGTTTAAAAATTACTAAGAAGGCTTGTGCGAATCCGAATGGCCCCATTCTTGCTCAGGAAGGACATAACAATAATATGGCGGAGACGCGATTGGATCAGTTGGAGCACGAGTTAAATGTGAAGTATAATCTCGGTGGTCATTCACTACAATGGAACAGACTTCTGGGTAAAGAAATCGGCTCGCCCAACGAGGGTTAAATTTTTATGCTTGACCTGCAATCGAACCTGGCGTTGGAAGGACAGAGTTTGCAATCTTTCACGAACAATTTGCCATCATGGTAAACCGAACAAAGATTCCAAAGCGCATAAATCAGAAAACTCAACTTTCACATCTTCATGCTATTTCAGTTCCACGAGAAGAGAGTGCTTCAGAATCTTCCACGGATCGGCCTGCGGTGTTTGATGGGGTTGGTGTTGGTTAATGCCTGCCTGATCCTCTAACAAAAGCGTACACCGCTCTCATCCGCAAAGATCAAATGGGTGACACGCCATCCCCAATAGATTTTAGACCAATTTCTGTGTTGAGCGCAATTTATAGGCTCTGGGCAAAGGCCCGCTTCCAAGACGGATTGTGCTGGCAAGAAGGTTGGTCGCTCAACGAAGTTTGGGGTTGACGTGAAGGCAGAGGCACCGAAGCAATGGTCATGCAGCTTGCACTTCAACTTGAAAGTAATGGTCTTTCTTCCTCCTCAGTTGTGGGGGGGGTCACTAATGATTTTAAGAAATGCTTTGATCTGATACCATACGAATTACTCTTCAGGGCTCTGGAAGCGCGCGGGTCACACTCAAAAGTCATCCTGCCTCTTCAAGCCATGTACACATCCCTGTCTAGGGTTTTCAAGCTCAGAGGTACATGCAGTAACTTTTGGATTGCCAGCAATGGCTTACTGCAGGGATGCCCGATTTCGATGTTAGCTTTAAATGCCTTGGTTTCGGTAGTTTTGGAAATTAATGATAAAGCTTGTCCGGCCGTCACTGCGCGCACATATGCTGATGATATCTCTGCAGTGTGTGTTGCGCAATCTCAAGAGGCACTTATCACTAACATAGCAAAACTCCACCGTATTGTCAAGTCACTTGAAGAGCTCCAATTTGGTGAACTTTCCACAAAGAAGTGTTACACTTTTGGCAATAAATGCCTCAAAGGTAAACTCGATATGAGCACCAGCACGCCTTCAAAATTGTTGTGGGTAGTTTTATCTCAGATGATGACTCAAAAAGTTTGGCTGCCACCGAGAAAGGCCGATACGTCAAGTGGGCCGAAACAGTGAAACGAATGAGATACTGCCCATTGCCATGGCGTGACAAAGCTGTTGACTCCCATAAGATCAGACGTCATGCGGGCAATGTTTAGCACCGATTTTTACCCTATGAGCACTCATCTCACTTTCGCAATTTTGTTACCTCCGCAGTTAGATCCTCTGTTTGGGCACACTTATCAATGTTTGAGAACCCTCGCTCGTTGCCTTCGTGATTCAAATTTCCGAGAAATGTTCCAGACAGTGCTTGCCCGAACCGCCTGAAAGAACATTGAGGGACCAACTCGTAAAATTCGAAAACTGATGAATTCAGCTCTCGCGAAAGGGAGCTCAGCATGTAGGGGTTTAGCCAAGATAGTTTTCTATGTATGGCGCTCAACAGAAGCGACAATCAAAACGATTAGTGGAACTTGGAACACTCGCCAACTTGGCGCCACAACCGGATACATCGACCAAGACCTTAAACTCGGAGCACTTATGGATCTTTGGGACACCAGGAAATGGGAAATGGTAGCTTTAACAGACACAAAGCTCGGCCCATCCACAACCCTTGCCACCCCCAACGGCACTGCACACAGGCAGCACGCGCCCAGGCTACCTACACAACCAACTGCAACAGGCTAAGCGCCAGCTTCAAAACGTCAAACGCCAAAAACGCAGACTATTCACTCAGTGGGAAAGACAGCATTGGGACACAGTTGGACAACAAGCAGAAACCGCCGAAGAACGAGGAGATACCTACGTGTTATACTCATTCATATCAAAACTTAAGATCCGCAAGGCAAACAACATCAAACAACAAAAAGCTCCATGAAACGAATAACACGCAATCCTTTCGCCGAACTCGAGTCATGGAAAGACCATTTTAGCAACATCCAGGACGGAGCAGTCCCAGTAGCCAACCGGGTCTGGGATAGCATACCTCAAAACCCCAACACTGCTACATGGCTAAACGAAACTCTTACCATCCCCGAGCTCACACGCGCACTCGCAAAAATGATCAAAAATGAAAATTGGCAAGGTCCCCGTAGATAATGGGGTCACGGTCGAAATGCTGAAATGGGCACCCCAAGCAATCCTCGACAACTTTTTTCTTACACCCACTCTCTTTGGAACACTACCTGTAACGCCCCCCCGACCTCGCAACGGCCCACTGGCCCCAATCCTGGCTTCAGGCCACTGTTATTATCCCACTCTGGAAACAAAAACACCCACGCAGCAACAAAAGTAACTAGAGAGGAGTCACCCTCCTCTGCATAGGGGGCAAACTCATTTCTCGCGTCGTCGCTAGTCGTGTACAACAATTTTCTGAATCTTTCATGGACGAAGAACAGCAGGGATTCCGCCGTAACCGAGGGGTTGACGATGTGCTCCAAGTGAGCCAGAGAATTGCTGAAGAAGTCTATATTTCCAGAGGACAGGATACTATCAAACTCATCCTGTACAACATCAAGAAAGCGTACCCCCGCATAAACCGTGAAGCCCTCTTGACCCTCATGCAAAAAAGGGGCGCGCCAGCCTCATATCCAAGTCTGTCAGGCCCTACACAATCACACCCAGTTCCACGTCAAACTCGATGGAGCCCTCTCCCAAAACTACAAGGCGGACCGGGGTCTAGGAAGGTTGCCCCTCCTCCCCCCACTTTTCAACCTATACCATCAGGCCGCCCCCAACGATTTTCGAGCCCGCCGCAAACGCTCCGCCGAGAGTGCGGGCCTTACACCAGGCATTGAACGGAAGATCTTCGTTGATGCCCGCCTAACACGTCGTCACACTTACTACCAAACTCAAACAAATAGTCCATATTTTTCGGCGACCTGGAATTTGCAGACGATACTGCCACCATCGCCACAGCAACCGAATTTTCTTGGCTGACCAATTACTGGAACAAACCTTTACGGATGGGGGTGAAAAATTCAACCGTGCCAAAACTGAAACCCTCTGCGGGGGGAGGCAAATCTAAACCTGTTTGTCAAGATGCAGAACAGCAGCGTGCGCTTGCCATGTCTCTCAAAGACAATGGTCAACGCCAAGAGAAAAGCTGCTGCTATTGCCTTGCAACAGCAGCTTTCAAACGATCTGCATTTCCAATCTGTCATTGGAGATGGAGCCTGTTTGTTTCGAGCCTTCAAGAGATCCCTCCATGAGCAGACTGGCATATTTAGGACAATGTAGGATCCATGCGGAATTGCGGCAAGGTTGTGTCCAAAACATTGAGCGAACGCCAGCTTTGTTTGACCGCTTTGGCTGCAGTGATGATGCATCCGAATATCTAAATTCCATGCGCCTTGTCACAGCATATGGAGATGAATTGTGCGTGCACTCGCTCGCTGTACTGTTTAGTGTCCAAGTGCATGTTCACATTCCCAATTATGGTATCCAGGTTTTCTATTCTGAATTCTCACCTACTATTAAGCTGACCTACTATGGTTTCGATCATTATCATGTAATTTTGGCACGCCACAGATGCCGAAGTCACCCTGCTTTCACGAATTGCCATGTGAATTTCAATGATTCGAAGCATCCAGCTCAGACAAATACCTCTTGTACCAGTGCGCAAGGCACGGTTCGTGCAATTGAAGAGCCTTCTCCTGTCTCCACCGGCAAGTGTCTAACCTTGCTTAGCATTAACATCACCTCTTGGATGCTCCATAAAGATTCTCTCTTAAATAGTGCAGACATCCTTGTTGTGCAAGAAACGCGGCTGACAAGCACCGTTCAGCACCAAAATGCCACCAGAGCCTCCTACACTGGTCGCCAAGGTGGGATTGCCATCTTTGCCAAAAAGTGCTGGCCATTAATCCAGTGTTCACCCGATGTTGACATCGCTGCCCCTTCAAAAAAGCTAGATGGACCCATGCTGCAGTACCACTGAGTAAATCAGGTGCCTTATCCAAGAGATTTTTGCACATCATTAGCTTTTACAACTTGTCAGGCCGGGGTCAAGGGATGATTCGAACCAACCGCAATCGATATTTGGAAAGAGTTTTTGCCCATGTTAGTGGGCTTGGTCAACAGCCTGTTGTCATATGCATGGATGCAAATACATCCATCAAAGGTTCTCACTGTTAATCAGGACTGTGGACGGACCTTGGCTCCCATTTTACCAATAACAACCCCCAACCCCAACCAACCTTCAGTTCTTCCAAAAACTGGAACAAAATCAGCTGGGGAAAGAATGTCACCAGACCCGACATGAATTTTGCCAACAAAGCGGCCCTGCATATTTGCACGGCATTTAGACTCCGGCGTGATCTGTCACCAAAGGGCCACTTAGGCCTGGAACTCACATAAGCATGGACCGTGCTTGTCTTCATTTTCAGATCTTTAAACCGCCTCGACAATTTCATGCTGAGGTCGGATCAACCAGAGAGCGAGAACAAACTGCGCAGGCGATTATCGCCAAGCACAGAGATTGATTTGAAGAAGCCAGACTTTCTGACCCAAATCGACCTGCAATTTCCGAGGAATTTCTTCGTAAATGCCAACCTGTGGATAAGCCAGCAGGGCAAGGAGGACGCCATGGAAGGTCCGTTTTCAGCAAGAAAATGGAACGCAAGCAGCGGCAAGCAGAAAACACCCCGGCGATGTGTGCATGTTTGCATTACAACAAGCCTTTAAGCATGTCAGACGGAGCAGCGAGATTAGGTTTAAATTGCAGCAGATCTCTTCTTCTGACAATGTCGATGACTACGTTTTTCCAAACAAGCAGTTTGAAAGCGACTGCACCACTTTGACCCAAAAGATTCGAGAATTTTCTCGTAAGTTGAATATCGAAGTCCCCCAAGAGACCTTTTCTTTCGGTTGCCAACCTTCTTAAATTTGACGAGGCGCTGGGCTGCTATATCTCCCAATTGCAGAAGTGTCAAAGCTCTAAGGCTCTAATCGTATCATTGCATGGAAGCGCATGCTTCGGTGTGATTTCAAGGCAGGGGGCAAAAAGACATACGCGTGGCTCAAAGATGAGTGGAAACCACCTATAGCGGTGGTCACCTCGATGAATGGCCAAATCGCCACTGACCCTGACGGTGTTGTCCACAGTATTCAACAAACGTGGGATTCCCTCGTCAACCAATCTCAACAGCCTCAATGGGAACCATTTTCCCAACACTTTGATGAATTTCTCCAGGCACAGCCGTGCCCAATTGAACCAATCACGGCAGATGACATTCTGGCACGCACGAAGTATATATGTTAAATCAAAGCTAGGGCTGTTGCTCTTGATGGTTGAAGAGTTACTGAAATGAAGCAATTGCCAAAATCGATTCTTGCTTTGGCTGCTGACCTCTATCAAGATATCGAAAGTAACGGCGTCTGGCCGCAAAATTATTGCTTTGCTTATATCTCATGTGTTCCAAAAAAACCACCCCGGTTTTAGACAA